ATTTCTTCTGAGATCCTTTTGCTCATACGGACGGACGGACGGACGGACGGACGGACGGACGGACGGACGGACGGACGGACAGACGGACAGGGCTATATCGACTCAGCTCGTCGTCCTGATCAAGAATATATATACTCTATGCGGTCTGCGATGATTCCTTCTGCCTGTTACATACTTTTCACAAAATCATTATACCCTGATTTCCCATTTTCAATGGGTTCAGGGTATAAAAATCATGCAATAAGTGAATTGACTGTGTTCGATTAAGTGAAGTGGACAAAGGCCGCCGGGTTCAGGATTCAGTATGCGACGACGATCACACAAAAGACTCTGAGCGTTATACACCAGAGCCTGGACTGGGCAGCCGCCAGCATACTGCTTTCTAGACTTGGTGTCAGGTGTCTCGCCACAGCCCAGTAGGAGTTGCGCAATATGGCTCCGAGCGTTATACGCCAGAGCTGAGTCGTGGCAACGGCCGGTTTGTCTGTGTCGGACGGACGAGTGTTACATTGCTCTACAAAGTGAAGTGCCCGAGGTTTGTGGAATTGATATTCAGTGTATAGTGGTCACCATACGAAAGGCTCCGAGTATTATACGCCAGAGCTGGGACTTGGTGACCGCCGACTATACTATTCTCGAGATTGGGTCTCTTTTACGGGTGGCGCGCCACAGCCCATTGGCCCCGCGACTCAAACCCGAGTGTTATACACCGGAGTTGAGTCGTGGTGACAGCCAGCCGGGCTGTGTGCTAGATAAGCCAGCATCAGCATTTTGAGAACTCGCCAAAGCACATAGCGGGTGCGACGTGACCCTACGTTATACGCCACATCCGAGCGATGGTCGATTTAACGGTGCCATTATCCCGGCAACGCCCGCGCTTCACGCGTTACTCTCAACCCACCGCACTCTAAGCACTCGTAGCGCACGGCAGGCATCCCACGTCCCCCTCCCAGCATCGAGCGTTATACACCAGAGCTGGGTCGAGGCGGTGGTCAGCTCGACTGCGCTAGTGGTTAGCGACAGCCCTGCGCTGCATGCGCCCCACGGTGAACAGCGGGTGCAACGCTACCCTACTCCGAGCGTTATACACCAGAGCTGGGCAGCGCCGTTTTCAGGCCGCCCCACTGTAACTGCAGCTAGTTTCCAGCAAGAGATTTTGTGCCCCAAACACGGATAGCCCGGCCATCTCGGCCCGCTATTCCTTCTCATTCCTTGGTCCCGACAATTTACTAAATTTTCTTGTAAATGACCCTAGGGAAATTTCTTTACAATACTTATGGGGGTACATACTCGCATATACCTATATCTTATATTTTCTTACAGTTTACATTCACAAACTAAATATAAATCGATGAGGATATTATGAAATATTATATTAATTAATTAGCGTAAATAAATCCGAGTAGGCAGATAGGAAATAAAACACACATCGTTTGTATATTTTTCATTATCTTTATTATATATTAATTGCCTTGCTGTTAATGTTGCTATTAAATTTGTTATTGTATATTTTACAAAGTACACACAGTATACAAAAAATGAAATAATAATTACAAAATAAAACAACTTTTCTTTAAATTAAAAACAATAAAAAAAAAAAACGCATGTGTGATGTTTGCAACTATGCAATCTCGTCTGCTAACTCTCATTTCATTTCATTTCATTTGATTCGCGGCAGATACTCTTTGAGTTGCTCTGTCTGCCCAACTTAATGCGGCATAAAAAAAATAGTATATATACATCTATATATTTTGTTTATAAATATATGTATATATTGTTTAAACAACATGATTTGACATTAATTAAATTTGGTATAAAAATCTAAAACAATGTTACATTTTTGTTTCTGTTTGTTTTGTTTTTGTTTTTCATTTTCTTCTCAGTTTTCAGTTACAATTTCATATATGTATGTATTTAAATATACATGCAGACATATAGCCATATGCACTCGTTTTGTGTAGGTATATTCATAATTTCATCAATTTTTTTATTATTTTAATTTGTTAGCAAAAAACACTTAGAATACATCGCCTTCGACTATTAATTCTTGTTACGCCTTGTTTCTGTGTTGCACACTCCTACGATTATATTGAGTTAAGTCTGAGGGTATGGGTCTCCTCCATGCCAGTCGCTCACGCCTTTCGCCTTTCGCCTTTCGCTTTCGCTGGCCTTCAATGATAATAAGTTTTGTGGGCCCTTGTGTGTATGAACACTCAATTAAATATAGCCTAGCTTTATTACAAACATTAATTCTATTCATTTGTTGCATTTGCGTTTGCATTTGTTATCTCTCTCGCAAACTGAAAGCAAATCGCTTCGATCGATTCCCATTCAATTCAATTTCTCTAAACTGGGTCGGAGTCGGGTGTTTGGGAGTTGTGGGGTTGGGGTTGGGGTTGAGGGTTCGGGTGGCGGTGTTCAAGCTGTTCAGGACCAGCAAGAAGGATGACACGAAGCCCTATTGTGGTCGCAGTTTGATTGTTTTGAAGTCATCTTGATTGATTATTAACAAGCGGCAGAGCACAAAATAAACACTAATTGCACTTAAAAAAATAACAACAAAGTTTTAAATATACAGATACATAAGCATGGGCCAAAATTTGTTACAGCGCTCTCTCTCTCTCTCCCCTCCTCTCTCTTCCTCTCTTGCTTTCTTTATATATGTAAATGCTTGCCTGTAACATTTTTGGCCTCAACATAATACATGGTACAGATTATTTCACACATATGTAAATATACACAGTTATGTACAAAATTCATACAATAATAAAAAGTGGACGACATTGGAGACAACACAAGTCAGCCGAAGGAATCTCTCTCTCTCTCTCTCTCGATTCGACGTGACCTGCTGGACTATTGAAAGCTGTTGGAGTTGTACGCGCTTATTAGCCGAATACACATATACGCACACACACACACACACACACACAGACACACACACAGATGCTCTATATATGTATATATATATTGCAAAAGTGCACACATATAATTATATAATGCAAAGCATATTCGATACATATAGATGTCTACCGCAGTGCAGTGGCCGCTGCTAAATTCAAAATTTGAGGTGAAAATTGATTTTATATAAAAAAGAAAAAGAAAAAAAAAACAGAGTTCTAGGGAAATGAAAAATACTTAAGCTTTATGATTTACTAGCGACCACTATATACGCACACTTGCACTCACACGCACACACACATACACAAACAGATATATATAGTATTTGTATAAAATAAGTTATCTTCGATACTCGTTTACAAATTTTGGCGTTTTTCATTAGGTGTAGTTTCAATAGTTGTAGTAGTACATAGTTATATATGTAGATTGCTACGTAAGCTCTTAGCCGAGCTCCACAGTTTATATCTGACCTGACTGCCTATATATGTATATATATATTCAATTTGATTGCGATGCAAATATCTATGTATACCTTTATCTATACGAATTCATATAAATATATGTATATGAAACTATATGTAGATAAACACTTTCGTGAACAATTTGATTAAAAACAAATCGCATTTGCTCTAATCCGAGCGAGTCGAGAGTCGTAACTTAAATACTTTGGATCCTACCATAGTCTGGGTCTGGCCATAATCTTCCAAGGTGTGAACAAAATAAAGAAGAAATTCCTGTCTTATGCGTAAGTTAAAAACTGATAGTTACAAATAGTATTCTCTATTTACAGTTCTTCGACATCCAACTTTGAAATGCTTATGTAAAATTATTAAAATATATAAATCAATGAAAATAAGATTTTAACAATACGCTAGGAGTAAAAAATCCAAGCCAAACCGAACAGCTTTGCGATATCCCATTACGCATACATATACATCTATCTATCTATCTATATACATATATGTATATATACATATATATATGACTGTAGCTTCAGAAGAACGTGGAGAACTTGCGCTTGTTTGGCGTCTTGCTGATGTTGGGGGGGCTCTGGCTGATCCCGTTGCAGTGCTTGGCGACCAGCACGGGTACCGGCACCGGCACGGTCATGGGCATGGGCATGTGTACGGGCACCGAAGCGTATGCCGCCGGCTCTGCCCCGTGGTTAAGAATGGTGTGCTGCAGCTGCTGTTGTTGTTGCAGTTGTTGTTCTTGTGGCTGCTGGGTGTAGTAGGCGGCCGTGGCCGTAGCCGTTGCCGCTGCCGCTGCCGTGACAACTGCACTGCTGGCTGTTGAGGCGGGTGGCATTACGACGACGGGCACAACCACGGGTTATACGGAGATCTCATAGTTCATATCATAGATGCTGGCACGGTCCGGTGTGCCAGTGGCATTCGATGCGGCCGCGGCAGCTGCGGCCGCCGCATTGCGTCCCACAGCAGCTGCAGCGGCGGCTGCGGCCGCATTCTGCTGCGCCAGGCTCGCCGGAATGCCGCTGGGCAGTCCGCCGTTGTTGCGCGCAATCGTAGCGGCCGCCGTCGCCTGCTGCTGCTCAAGTGTCTGCATCTCCATTGAATCGGTCATCTCCAGGGCGCGCACAAAACTCATCGGCCTCGTTGGCGTCTGCTTGCGCTTGATCTGAGGCGATGGCTGGGGCTGCAGCGCCCCGGCCGCACTGCTCACGTTGACGCCGGCCAGCGGGTTGGGTGGAAAGACTGCCACGCCGCCACGCAACTGGGGCTGATAGCCGCTGGACACAGGGCCGGCATTGCTGGTTGGCATGTTGGCGATGCTGCCGCTGCTGCCAGACTGGGCGCCCGCTCCGGCGCCACCGCCGCCGCCGCCGCCGTAGCGCAGAATGTACGATTGTGCAGCGGACGTCTGTGGCAAGGTTGTGGGGCTCGTTGGATTGGAGCGATGATATGAGGCAGCAGCCGCCGCTGCAGCATTCGCCAAGGCTGCCTGCTGCTGTTGTTGTTGCTGCTGTTGCTGCTGCTGCTGACTGGCGTAGTCCTGCAGGCGCGAGTGGGTCATGATGAGCGGATGAGCGCCACCGCCGGCCGTTATGTACTGCGCATGCTGCATCATGCCGCCCGTATTGCTGCTGCTTGGCAGAGTGCCCGCACTGCTGCCAATGCTGACGCTGGCCGGTCCGCCGCCACCGCCGCCGAAGCCAGGGGAGGTGTCCTTCCACATGTAGACGCCGCGCTGCGGACTGCCAGCCAGCTCCCGTATGTTGTCCACCGTGTTGTTGGAGCGCGCATAGGAGAGCTCACCGCCAGCGCCCTGCCGCACCAGCTCGCCCTCAGACAGGAAGCGACGCTGCGGACTGCCGCCATAAGCAGCCTGCGCCAGCGACTGCTGCTGCTGCAGCACTAGAGACAAAAGAGGATTAGCCCCAGCTTCATGGCTGCTGCATCGAATAGGAGCACACTCACCTTGTTGCTGCTGCTGTTGCTGATGCTGCAGCATGACCCGCTGCTGTTGCAGCAGCAGTTGCTGCTGGTGCTGAATCGTCGGCGCCTGCGGATGCTGCGGCGGTAGCCCGCTGGTGTACTCATAGTAGGCAGCTGCCGCTGCGGCCGCCTGCTGTTGCTGTTGCTGCTGCTGTTGCTGCTGTTGCTGCTGTTGCTGGGCCGCCTGCGCGTTCAGCCCGATGAAGTCGGGGCGTCGAGGTTGCGTGGGAGTGCCCGGATTGGATCTGCGAAGGAGGACCAGTCGAGAGAGTGTGTGAGCGACAGAGAGAATGCTGACATGCATGCTTAGCCAGTTAGAGAGCGAGTTATGTTAACGGATAACACTGTGGCTGCGATCGTTAACAGCGCGCCATGTTAATGTTAGGACTTGACAGCAGATTAACAGAATGTGTGTTTCTTTCTGTGTGAAAGTAGTCATGAGTTGTGATTGGGTATAGGCATATGTATCTGTGTGTGGGCGTGTGGGCATGTGGGTGTGTTGGCGCTGTGGTTAGGCTACGAACTGGGACCACAATACCGTTAGGATAATCAAACATTGAGGGTTAGTGACGAGTTACACAACATGTTGCAGAGAGCGCGACTGAGCACAAGAGGTTGTTAGACTGAGTAGGCCGTTGCGGGGCCACAAACAGAGAGGCCCATCGATAGACGGCAATCGGTTATCTGTTATCGGTTATCGGTATTATGCAAAGACCAGTTTAGAAATGAAACCTTTCGTATTTATTAAGTACAATTCGACACCATTCTGCCCCACTGCATTTCATGTAAATATACATATATATACATATATTATATACATATACGGATATGTATATATATGGGTATGTGTGTGTTATTTCAGTTAGCCAGCTGAGACTGAGTGTGTGCGCTTGTGTGTGGGTGACCACCGATTATTTTTGTTTGGGAGAGTTGCAATTGAGGCTCACGGGTCGCACATCATCACGTTGAGCAACAGCTAGGGAGCTAGATAGCTAGAGAGCTAGGGCCAGTGGTTGCGGGCGATGCGCTGCACTAAATCGATAACGGTGCGCGGAACGTCGGCGCGCACCAGCTTGATCAGCAAATGGAGCACGTTGACGACACAATAGAGAATGCTGCAGCCAAGTATAATTGGGGCCAGAAGCAATTTGGTCTGCATTGAGTAGCGTGTGGTGTCCTCGAAGTCGAAAAACTCCCAGAGATTCGCCTGACCAAGGAAATGATTGCGCAGCTTCACCACCTGCCCCTTCAGCCAGGTGAAGTACCAGCAGAGGAAAAATAACAGATTCGATGTCAGATAGCCCAGCAGGAAGCCAGCCAGTGTAATGTAGTCCATCTTGGAGCCGTTGGCCACGGCCGAGCTGCAACCGCCACCCGCTCGCATCTGCCCGTAGCGAAAACCACTCAACTTCAGCGAGCGACTGTATGGCCTCGTCGGGTATACGGCCGGTTCCCTCGGACCCAGATCACTGCTGGGTTCCTCTTGGATGTTGCTCTTCCTCTCAATATTGTTGCTGTAGGAGTAGCCCGTCAGCCTGTTGTTGTAGTTCCTGCTCAGGTTGCTGTTGGCGTTGATGCTGTGGGTATAGCTGGCCTTGTTGGTGGCTGTGTTGCTGTTGTTGATGTTGATGTTGCTGTTGCTATTGTTGATGTTGCTGTTGTTGTTGCTGCAGTTATTGATGTGGTTGTTGTTGAAGTTGTTGTTGACGCTGTATTCGTCACTTGCCGCCTGCTTGCCGTACTTGGCCAACACCTTCTGAAACCGCTCGGCGGTGTTGCTGCCGGAGCTGTTGCAGTTGTTCTTGATATTGTTATTGCTGTTGCTGTTTCTCATGTTGTTGGTGATGTTCTTGTTGATGTTGTTGTTGATGTGGTTGAGTTTGTTGATGTTGTTGTTGCTGGCGCTTTTAATGGCGCTGCTGTTGCTGTAGTTGCAGCTGTAGCCATTGCTATAGGCATCCTCGCCGCCGGCCCGGTGATTGCCACTGTCGTTGTCAGCCGACCACACCGCTCGCTGCTCCGGCTGATGCAGCACTCGCGTCGCAGCCAACCGGGGGCTACTCGGCTCGACGCCAGCAGCAGAGACTTCGCTCTGGCAGCTGCGCTGCCTATAGAGGCGGCTGGCCGTTGGCAGCTGCGACGCTTTGTAGGAATGATAGGACGAGGAATCTCGGCGTTCCTCTGGCGTTGAGAAGCGCCCATCGCCAGCATCGCCGTCCAGGCCGCCACGCGACTTCTGCAGCGAGAGCGGATTCGTCTCGAAGCTCATCCCATTGAACTGGAATTGGCGGCGATTGCGCAGCTGCGGCGGCGTTGCGACTGTGAGTGGCAGTGTCTTGTCCAATAGACCCAGCGACCTGATGCGGTTCGAGTTCTGCTGCGGCTGCTGTGGCTGCTGTGGCTGCTGTGGCTGCTGTTTGTTCCTATTCATAATGCTTGTTGCCCTTTTTAGAATTATTATTAAAACCGATTGCACCGCAATTTGGCGAAATTCAACTTGTTTGCCGAAAAATAAAATTAAAAATTTTTAATAGGAATACAACAAAACAAGGATACGAGAATTTGTTTGCTTGGCTCAATTTTTCGATACTAGCCTGACAGATTTTGCGAGCTGACATTCGTGTCTGTGTGTCTTATTTGTATGAATGAATTGTTATTATAATACCCAGACCCAGACCCAGAGCCAGACTGTGAATGTGACTGTGACAGAGAATGGGCAAAGCCTGCTGAGTGTGCGCCTTCGGTTTGGTTTGATTCGAATGAGGTGAGTCTCGGCAAATAACAAAACAAGATACGAACTATCTTCGGACTGCCGAAGCTCTGAAATACCCCTGCAGGCATACAACCGATTTCTATACACCCCACCAAGATCACATTGGCCGGATGCCTGTCTGCCTTCTCACTCACTTGCTGTTCCCGTTCTCCAATGATTGAAAAGCCAAACTAATTGTAAAAGTATTCACGCTTAAGAGGAAGCCTAACAGAAGGCTGAAGAGGTTTCTCTACGAAGTGCGGACAGCAAAAAGAACCTTTTTCTTATAAATTTGTTGGACCTATACAATGTAGAGCTTTATATTATCGTGATTGTTTTCTTCTTTCCTCATATCATATAGTTTATAGAACATTGGCGACTAGAGACCCAGACAGACATACAAGACTACTAATTAAAGAACGCAAATCAATAGATTTGCAAGCCTATATATAGAGAGGCCACTTGGTGGCTTGCATAGCAACCACTGCAAGGGTATATCATTAAAGAAAAAAGACAGTGAAACGGCACCAAAATCAAGAATTCACTCACCTTCAATCAAATGAAAGCTAAGGTAGTAGTAGTACATTGAGTGGGTGCGCTTGGTGTTGACGCTAGTTGTTGTGGTACATTTTCTAGGAAAGTGTCAGAGTGTGTGTGTGTCGTGTGTGTATGTGTGGGTGTAGGAGTGTAGGTGTAGGTGTGTGTGTGGACGGAAACGTTAAGAAGACAACTGTCGCCTGTTGTGTGCCGTCGCCTGACGTCTATCCATATATCAGTACGTAGACAGTTATGTAGGAAACGTTTGGACACAAAAGAACTTGACTGAGGAGCTGTATCTGGTATTTGTTTGGTTCAGGATATGGCTCGGGTTCGGGCTCAATTCTGCAGTGCGCCTCTTTCTGCTTGACACAGTGTAATCTGCATTATTTTAAACACTCTACTAAACGTAGGATCTTAACTATATCCATATTTATATACACATAGATATATAATTAATCGTAATCGTAATCGTAATCGTAATCGTAATTTTAATTTGATATCGTCTCACTTTTCACATTAATTCTAGTTTTCTTGTTGGTTTTTTGGTTTTCTAAGTGTTTTTTGTTTCTTTTTGTTTTTTCTGGTAAGCTAAGCCTAGGAATTAGTACTGTTCTCAGAATTTGAGTATTGACTACATCGAGAAAAATAAAATAAACAAAGAAAACGGAAAAAAGAAAAGTTGTAAAATAATTAGTCGAATAGTGTGTAAATCAAATCATGGGGAAAAGCTTTGTGCTAAATATATACACGATATGCTGATGAGATATAGGGAAACAGAGCGCGAAGGACGAAGCCAAATAGGGAGAGATGTGTACGACTAAAGCGTATGAGTGGTGGCACGAAATAGACGGAGATGGATGGATAGATACAGAGAAAAACGGAGAGAGAGAGAGCGAGACAAATAGATAGGTACATAGATACAAAGAGGATAGCTGACATAGCCGGAGTGCATTGACCTTTGAAGCCAACTCGCTCGCTGTCGTGCAATGAGTACAGAGTGTACAGTGAGCACTGCGATTATGATACAGGCCTAGATTCGAGTGCTCTTCAAGCGAACTCACAACAGCAGCCAATACAATGCCAACGATAAACAACTGAGGATCGCATTTCCTAGCGCGATTATCTTAGGACTCCCGCACATACACACACGCGTGGTCGATCTGTGTATGTGGGTGTGTGTGTGTGCAGTTCTTTGTAAGCGAGCTAATCATGGCAATAACAATTACAGCAGCAACAGCATATTGAAGCACAACTTCACAATCAATCAATGCAATWAGCAGCTCAACACATGGACATTTCGATATATACATATATATAAATTATTATATATATATACGTATGGCTAGCTGGAAAATCGATTTGTGGCGACTGCACCACCGCAGCGATGGGTCGACTCGGACACCACTCACCTTCTCACTGGACTGGCGCTGACGAGTGGGGTGGCCACGCCCAGTGGCTTAATTCGTTGTTGCATGGTAGGCGTGGCCGTGGTGGTGCCACCGCGCTGGCTTTGTGCTACTGATATGCCCTGCTGCCCGTTGACGACGTAGCCACCGCCCGGCTGGTCCGGCGACAGTGGATCGCTCGTGTAGCCGCGCTGCGGATCCAGGCCCCTAAAAGCAATCGTGGACAGACGTGAGAGCAAGCGCTTGGCACATACTTGAATGGCTACTCACCTGGTGCGCGCGTGCGGACTGTGCCGTGGATGATACATGCGCAAGTGACGCGGCGAGTCGCCACCGCCGCCGGACTGCGCCGAGTTGGAGGCACCACCCGCACCGCTGGCAATGTTGCCGTTGTTCATGTTGCTCATGTTGATGCCAGGCGCCGTGTCGCTCACCTGTGGCAGGTAGAAGTTGGTCGAGTTGTGGCGCTGCAGCGGCGGCGTCGGCTCGCAGTCTTGGCTCTGTGAGGCGGGCGGCGGCTCCAGGTCCGTGTCGGAGCACTCGCGTCCCGGCGACAGCTGCGAAAAGTGTAGAGCGCACACAGATTGCTTAGACAGATTAATAAACAGTTTACGCCACCTGCTCAACACAGACAACCTTAGGCCTACGTAAAAAAGAATAAGTAGTTGCGATTGATCGATTTGTACTTGAAACCAAATGAAAACGAAACTTGTGTGTGTTTTGTGTGGGTTGGACAAATGAGTCGATTGCCGAATGCCAATTGTCGATTATCGATTGTCGACTGTCGATTGTCGAACGCCCAATCTTGGCCCGAAGCGAATGCGATGCTAACAGAGTTTGGCCCCTGCATAGATGTAACGCACAGTGTGTATGATGCCCGTGTCCACGTCAAGATGCAGCAACTGCCATCTTTTTACAGGGTATTTTCAAATGTTGTAGTTTTGAGTTATGCAAGGCGAGATGTAGGTAGGTGGGCTACATATGATATGAACTGCACGAGGGAGTTGATGGGTCAAAGCTACAGAATTCATCGGATTCGTGGGGCATTTAGATCACAGAGAGAGTGACAGAGGGAAATAAATAGAGCAAGAGAGTGAGAAAAAAAAAAAAAAAAAACTAAATATATTATCGAGTTTAAAAGATAGTTAGATATATGTATATATTGAAAGATATTTAAAATTGAGGAGATTGGGAAAGTGATATCAAATTTCGGAGATCTTAATTCAATTCTATTATAATCAATCTTCAGTGAGGAGAAGCAACAGAAGAAATCATGTGACGAATTTCAAGTCAATCAATCAATATGTAGTAAAAAATTAATTAATTAAATAATTGAATTAGAAACATATAGTATATATTGTATTTAATTCGTTTCKTTTTATTATTTTTGTATTTTACCTTTTTCGGTGCTTGCAGAAAGTGTAGAGTTTTTTATTTGTTTTTGTTGTTTGACCAATCTTTATATTTAGTTAATATAAATTCTCTAGACTAAATTGAAAAATAGTTGCACAACAATCTGCGAGCGAATTTACAGCACAAATGCAGCCAAAATAATGGCCAGAACAGAGCAGTAACGTTTGCAAAAGCTTTCAAATTAGGTAAACAGCGAACTAAACTAAAGTACTTGAAACCGCATGCAGCAAATCAAAATTAAACACAAACTAAAAATCAGCAAACTAATCGAAGCCCTTAAGTTAACCAAACTAAACAGAAATGAAAATTCAACAAAGTAATTAATATTCGGCTACAGCGTCGAGCCTCTAAATACGTTCCCAAAACAACAAGAATACGGGAGTAGTTTACACTGAGAGGCCACACAAATCAGCAAATAATACTCTACTACCAAGTCAACAATGAGTATATACGATTGGTGCAATGTTGGTCTCTACCTATCGTTTGCCAATGTGTCTGCCAATCGCTTCCACGAATAGCAGAACAGACTCTTCCCATATGCTAAGTAATATAGCCCACGTAAATCGGCGAGTATTACATCTCTACTTTCTATTCAAAAACGAGTATATTGGCATAGTACGAGGTCTCTCTAACTCATTTGTGATTCCCTTACCTAGTATACATATATAGCAGATTGGGCTAATAACACTGTACTCGCGTATGGTATGGCTCTTTCCTAATCAGTTTAGTCCCTAGTCTATCGTCTCCGCTTTGACATCTGCTGGAGTTATCAAATGTACCAACTAAATAGAGGAAATAATACCCTGCTCGCAATGTTAAGCGAGTTGTCCTGTCATACTTTTGAATTATTAGCAGGGTTTTCAAATATATCAAATTGCTTTAGAGGCTCTACTTTTAATTCTTAGCTCTTGAAATTCAGATTCCCTTAAATGGACAGCTCCTACTCAAACCTACTTTACGTTGGGTATTTACTTATTCAACTCCCCAGAGATTCAGATTTATTATCTCCATGTGCTCACACTCAACATATGATATTCATCTATTGGATTTATCGAATATGTTATCGATTAATGCTTTGTTCTTGGCAGACATGCAAACGCTTTGGTTTACTAAGTCACTTTTCTTTGTATTTGATGGCAAATCCATTATAAATCTACGCAAGTGCAGCAAGAAAATAAACCAAGCTTAAGCAAAGACGACAGTGAGAGAGAGAGAGAGAGGCAGAGTGTGGGAGAGAGAGAGAGAGAGTGGGAGAGAATGCATAAAGATTGTGAGGACGATATAACGAAAAGTGTTAGGGATTTTTGCGTTTATTCAACTGTGATAGATTCTGTGCGTGTGTGTGAGAGCGTGTGCGTGTTAGCAGTGGCTTACTGTACGTATGCGTTGAGGCGTCAACTACTGCGCAATTACTGTTACCAAAAAGTGGCTATAACTACGCTACAGACGTGTCTAACTGGCGCGGGTAGAGCCCGGGCCAGGCAGGTCACGGCAAAAGAAGGCATCAAATGCATAACTAAAAGTTTTGAGGCAACAACGGCAGTTCTTGGATCAAGTTTATATAAATCTAAAGGCCAATCGATAATTACGGGTCGACGGGCGAACAAACTGTGCATTAGCTACACATATATATAATATATATAGAGATATATGCATATGTATGTGTATATTGTTGTACGAAGAGCCATGGGCGAGAGTTATGTATGCATTAGATGTGGGACGTGAGGACGTGATTAACTTATAAATACGATAAAGAGCGGATGGAAATGAAGCAAAAGCAGTTGCCAGTCAATTGCAAGGCGCATGTTAAGCCGAAATCAAATGGCGAATAAGCGTTAGTTAGCAGTCAGGAAATGTTAGGTACAAGCCAAGTAACTCTCACTAAACTAAAACGTATTAAACCCAATCGAACTCAACCAAACAGTTAAAACAGATTAAATGAAAAGTGAAGTCCGACAGCAAGTGGCGACACCAGCTGAGCCGCTGCCTACGGCAGCAGTCGCTCGCCGAGTCGGCCAAATGCCGTCGACTGAGATATGTACACAAACAAAGATACAGATACTTGTACAGAGTAGTATAGTAGATACATGATTATAGGTTGTTTATAGAGGGAGAGAGAATTATAATCGTTTTGCATAGCAATTACTGCAATGTTTCGTTTTGGTTTGCAAAATGTTACCCACCTTACTATAAAGCGTTGTGCTGCCCGACCGTTGATTATAACCATTGCCCTCGGCCATATAAGTCTTTACCTGAATTCCACGCTTCTCCCGACTCGACTCGTAGTAGGAGCGGGGTGAATATTGTACCGCAGTGCCGCGCATGCCGCTGCCGACGCCGACGCCGCCGGCCGTGCTGCCATTGCCACCGGCTCCGGCCCCGGCCCCGTTACCACTGCCGGCGTTGGTCTGTTGATTGGTCCGATCGTTGCATATGGTGCTGATGGCTTGATTTTGGGTCTGCGATCGCCGCGATGCGTACTTCTTCGGCTTCAGCAGGCTGCTCGAATACATCGACAACTCAGTTATTGGAATGTGCCTCTGCAGTGACAGATAGTACTTTACCTGGGATACTGTGGTCCGAACTGGGTGTAGCAGCAGTTGTGCCAGCAGCCACGTGAGAAGGGATTGTAGCCGCCCTTGAACTTGCCCGTCACCTGCTCGTTGGTGGTGCGGCCCCGCGACACCAGAACCATGTGGAAGCCCGTTAGCCCGAAGATTGGTATCGCCAACACAGTGACAAGGCCCATCAGTATCATTCTGTTAGGATTTCAGTTAAGCTAAACCAATCTGACAATTGCGTATGCGAACGCTTAAGCTGAAAGGAAAATATCTTCATATCTGAAAGATCAAGTTCGGTTAGAAAGCTAGATAGAAGCTAGATAGATGTTTGGGTAAAAAGGATACGCGACTATGGGCGCCGTCTGCTTGATGTTGGGCATGATTTTGAGCACGTAGAACAGACACAGCGAGAAGATGCTCAGCATATGGATTGAGAGTGAGACCAGAAAGAAGAAGAAGAACCTATAATTGCGCCTGCCAATGCAATTATTCACCCAGGGACAGTGATGGTCGAACGTCTGGAACAAACGAAAGGAGAGCGCATTGAGTTGAGTACATAATAATAAAAGAAGTCATCATCATCATCATCAGAATCCGAATTCGAATCGAATACAATTACCTCTATGCAGTGATTGCACACCGAGCAGTGGGAGCAGCGAGGCGGGCGATAGAACTTGCAGGTGACGCACCATTTCATCTTGACCGTAATGCCATTTATCTCGGCATTCTTGTAGAGCGGTGCACGGAACTCCTCCTCGCAGTCTTCGTCGGGCGAGGCTAGAATGCAGTCAAATTTAGGCTGTGCGGATGACGCTGGGCACCGTTTAGCACGCTACATACCTTTGGGTATAACGCCCGGATCCATAAATGTGGCCAGCGTAAAGTTGGCCAGCACAAAGAACGTGATGACGCCCTGATAGGCCAGCACCCACGGATGGCTCTTCACATAGTATTGGCAGCTGCAAGGCAGAAGGGAAACATGACCATATCAATTACATTAATTCACATCGACAATTTGGCTGGCCTACACACATGCATACATACACATGTACATGCCATAGCGATTTCCCTCTCACTCCCAGTCTCTCTCTCTCTCTTTCTTGCTCTTATCCAAACCTATTTGCAATATGCTGTAATCAGTTTAGAGTCCAGTGAACTGGAACTGTTTGCCGAGGCGTCACACACCCACCCACACACCCACACGCACACACACACACCCACACGCACTGCACTTGCACTGATGTGCATAACTTTTAGCAGTTTTCCAAATGCATTCGGCATTGATTCCATTGTGATGGCGAACGCAAACAAATGCACAGCCAGAGTCAGAGCAAGGGCCAGAGTCAGAGCAAGGGCCAGAGCCAGAGCAGCGGCACAAAATGCCATGTAATCCGCCTCTGAAACACTTGTAAGCTGGCATCAGTAAATTAATCCGACTAGCAATCAAATCAAACCCGAATACATCAGCCTTCTCTTCTCGCGCCCAAGATATTTATTTCAATTTGATTTTCTTCTCTGATACGAAGCATTCACCTCAAGCAATTATTCATCGTCAACAAGAAACGAGTGCCCAATGCTGAAGATGAAACCTAATTCTCAATTTGTTGTAATCGCAATCGTAATTATTTCATATTCAATTAAATTTCTATCATCTCTGCAATTCATTAGCTCCAATCACAAATTTAATCAATCAGTGCCAAATACGCAATTTCATGCGCATTTAATCCAGATTTCTGTTGCTCAATGCCAACTTATTTGAGCATCACTAAACAAAGCGTTTCAACAACTAATTTAATAACTCTTGACTTTTCATTATCTGCTTAATCTAGCCCATGCTAAAGTTAATTCAATTTCCTATTGATTTAGCTACATATATTTTAAATTTATTTTAAGCTGTCTTCATTGAGTTATAATTATTTACTATATTTAGCATATTTTCTGTTCATATAGCTCAAGCTATATTTTTTTTACCATTTTATTTTAGTTTCTTTTCAGTTTACATTTATTATATTTCCTACTGGTATTAGCTACTTTTTATTTATTTACTATATTTACCCTGTTTACTATTGATTTAAGCTATATTTCAACATAATTTTATCTCAGCTCTTTTGAGTTATAAATATTTCATATTTATTTATTTAATCTATTTAATTTCAGTTCTCTTCAGATATCATTTGCTCTATATTCACCTCATGCTATTGTATTATTATTATTATATTAATATTTCCAACATATTTTCTAGATTTTGACATAAATTTCTTCCAGTGTAAAAACGAGTTGACTTTAAATTACAAAATATCCCTAGCTACTTATACAAATGGCAAACTTGTCCACTAAACTACGTTGATAAAGACATCTCATCAACGTTGTACTTAATGAGCTGCCCTCGCAGTTGAAATTAAAATGCCAAGCCAGTGCCGCAGCACCCACACGTATTCGGGCTCCAGTTACGGTTAAGGTCACGTGCAGCCTTGGATGGCTGCTAACTGCTAACTGCTAACTGGCAACTGGCAACTGGCAACTGGCAATTGGCAACTGGCAGGTGCAAGGACACTTTTTGAACAAATTGCTCAAAACTTTTGTTCAACTTTGGCTGCCACTCAGAGGCAGAAACTGCAACATAAATTGTGGCTGCGAATGCTGTGAGAGTTTCAGCAAGTTGCCTAATTAAAATTGAGTAGTTAGACTCTTTTGGTATTTTGATTAACCCTCCTCACGAGCGGAACTAATTAAGCAGATGTGGGTTGGGGAGTTCCTGCCGCAGGATATCTGGGCTTGACCGCATTGAAAGAGGACACACAAGCCGCCCACACGCAATATTGTACTGCGGTGCATGCAGCTCTGCACGCATTGATTTTTATTGATTTACTCAACTGCCATATATACGCTTACTTGTATATATATGTATATGTATCAAGCAGTTTGAGTCAGCTTACATGCAAAGCTGATTCGTATTACAAAAATTCTAATTACATGCTTAGATTTTAATTTGGTATAAATAAGCGGCTCTGCGTCGAGGCGAGTCGAGTCGAGTCGAGTCTCAGCTAAATCCAGGCAGCAGCAGCTTAAAAGGAGATTTAGGAAATATGAGACATGAGCTCTTCCTGCCTTCAACTTAAAAGCGGCGTCAGGTTGGCTAAAGAGCGAACTACAAAATGGAACGCCCAGCAAGAGTGTGTGAGAGAGAGAGAGAGCGCGAGGGCGAGAGGGAGAGTGAAACGGGGCGAGTGGGATACTCATGTATAGGCAGCATCACGTACATAGGCACGAGCACGATGCTGCCCTGGTATCGGTTGCCATATATAAGTTTGCTGACGGATTCTGCTGGCGTTTGCACTCATTTATGCAGTGTAACAACCCGAGACGAACCAAGCCGCGCCCGCGCCCGCTCCCGCTCCCGCACCCGCACCCACAGCTTACAAGCCTGTGTGCTTAATGTAGGTCGTGACTATATGCTGCAGGTCCTCAACGACACAGGAATATAGAGAAGAAAAAAAAACCAGCAGGGCAGATTTACGCCTAACAGCAACCAACACCAACACCAACAACAAGAACAAGAAGAAGAGCCACGAACTGTCTGCATCATGCAATCAACAAAGGAAAACATCCAGAACTGAAGCCCAACAGACATCAATTAATGTTGGCCATCAAATTGGAGCAAATTAGAAGCGCACTTGGCAGCATCAAGCCGGCATCTAGGCTTTCATGTCCTACTCCTGCCATCTGGCCAAGTTTACTTTGGCTCAAACCAAATACAAACAGCACAAACAACGAAATTCAGCTATTTTCTTTGCCCCAAAGTACCGCAAATTTGTTGCTGGAACAGTATCAATGTTTAGATTACTTTATATTCAATTACGTTTCGTTCTCACTATCAACTATATCTGCATGCTAACGTTAGTAGAATTTCCCTTTGATATAAGAAATGTTTTTAATATATTTTCTTCCTCTAGTATAGAAACTCAATTTTATTAAATTTAATCAACATACCAAAAACCTTCTTTGATAACTGAACAAAATTCGTTACTATTCTAGTTAATTCATGTTGGCCATTAAATTACAACAAATTAAAAGTGCATTTGCCAACGATCAGGTGACTCTGACTCAATATAAAATGTTTAAAAAACTAAATTCAACTTTTTTTTTACCACAGTCGAGTCTCGATAATTTGTAACACGCCAAATAGAAAATCGCAATAAATCGAACCAAAAATTCCATCTCCTTAAAAAATCGTTCTCGATAATTTGAATTTCTGTGTAAATTGAATACTGTTCCCCGTGACATATCGCATTATCGGTACTATAATATATCGGTACTATATAATAATTTATTGAAAATTCAATACTGCAAAAGTATCAATGTTTGGATTACATTCATTTTAGCATTTTCAGCATTTATTGTCTACTATATTTACTTTCAGCTAAATTGAGTACAGCATTATTTTAATATTAGCAGTAATTCATATATATTTGCTTTAATTTTAATATATTAGCGTCTCCTTGTGTACTATATGTATTATATACTCTATCCCAAAGTTAGTACAATATTTCACTGCAATAGCTATGATACATTGCTTAGTTTACTTTAAATTGACTTCAATTTCTACTAACTATGCTCAATTTCCTTTTAATATAGGAAATATTCTAAATACATTTTCTTGATTTTAGTACACATTCGACTCAGTGTAAAATCTAGTATGTCAATTTATCATCTTATTGAATATTGACTTTGACACAAACTAAATATAAACACTTTAAATAATGAAATTCAACAATTTTCTCCAAGGATAGCAAATTTATCTTGAATTCAATACTGGAAATGTATCCGTGTATCTCTCTACAAATGAAAGAAGTTTGAATTTCATATTTTTCGCATTGATTTCATTGGGATTTAAATCTTGCCAGCAACAGATAAATATTGCTTTGCTCGGCGGGGCCAAGGACGCCACTTCCTGGAAAGCAAAGCAGAGCAGAGCAGAGCAAAGCAAAGCAAAGCAATTCCCTCAGCCTGACAAGCAGATTCGAAGTGAATAGACTCACAGCGGGCAGCTAAGTGGAAGCTGTAAACTGAAAGCCCTGGCAGGGGCATATCCGGTGCATTAGGTGAACGCACAGTTCCAGGCAGGCAGGCAGGCAGGCAGCCTCAGCTGATATCCTTAGCTGTCGGAATGCTGTTGAGGAAATTGAATTCTTGTGTAATGCGACATATCAAGAGGCCGCAGTGTCAGTTGCAGTCGCGACTCGCAGTCGCAGTCGCAGTTGCAGTTGCAGTCGCAGTCGCAGTTTATGGCCAAGGACTAGTGCGAGTGGCTTTGCTGACGACCCCTTAAATTGCTGTGTGCAATTAATTGAAGCAGCAGCAGCCGCATGCATGGCGAAAGCAGTTAACAGGCACTCACACACGTGCTGCAGCTGGAGGAGCTGGTTCAAAATGAAGTTGGGTGAAGAAAAGTAAAATAAAGTAAATGATGACGCTCTCTCCTTGCCCCGTTGTCACACTCAGCCTTTGCTCCCTGTGTCATGAAGCGCTTAACAGCGCACCAAGACTCACACACTCACACTCACGCATACACACACATGCACAAGCGTATATAAAAATATCATTCGCTATCACAGAGCTTAAGAGAGCTGGGGGCATTAGTCATCGTCTGGGTAGCCAGCGTCATCCGACTGGCCGTCGCTGAGCCAAATTGGGACACGCACAGCGAGGGGCTAGAGAGACGACAAGAGTGAAGTGGCACCACTTCAGGCTAGAGGGGAGGGTGCCAATAATCCAGATCGTAAATGATATTACCTCAATTGTGCCAAGATCCTGTAGACTTATGGTGAGCTAGGATTTGTATTTTTCTTCCCTTCCACTTGATATATGCCCTAGACTTAATATCTCATAAGAACATGTTCACACTAATCAACCTATCCTCTCTTTATATTATTTTAATTTACTATTCTTCTGTAATATT